AGGAGTTGTTTCTCGATCTCGTTGATCGAGAATTATCTTCAGTAAGAGTTCTGTCTTGCATGAAGAATAGATGGTAGGGAGCACATGATGAGATGGGGGCCAGGGCACCATCAAACCAACCAACAGCCTGAAAATAAGATAATGAGAGTAACACAGTTTTGACAGGGGTGAGTGATATCAGGTAGAGAGGTAAAGTTAAACAAAATCATTTTCAAAATAAAATAAAAAAGGAACACAAGGTCTAATTACATGAAAGTTTATGATGTGATTTGGAGAGATGTTGGTGCTTGGCGGAATAGGGAAGGGAGGGGAAGGGAGCGGGGTGGACTGCTATGGCCCAATGTAGAGATATAGAGGTTATTTAGTAAGTCAATAGCAGGTTGGGTGTGGGATTTGAGTACAATTTATAGAGGAAGGGGAGGCGGGGGTAAGGAAAAGTTTGTATATATAAACGATACAGTATATATATAGATATAGAATATATTGATATATAGGATAGAATATATATACATGTACACAGTATAATACCACAACACTACTATATAAAATACCTCTATTCAAGGATGTCCATGCAGTCCAGAGTACCCGCAACAGGTAAAAGGAGGGAGGGGTAGGGCTAGGCTAGGGTAGGGTAGGGTAGTGAAGGAGAGAGTGTTTGTGTCATTGTGATGGAGATGCAGTGCAGATGTGACATGAATCTAAAGAACTCATCTTATTTTCAAGGCTGATAGCCAGTCTTCTGATGCCACTGGCCCCCAGAGCTCACATGCACCCCGTTACCAAGTCGTTTACAGCTGCATTTCTTGTTGCGGGTACTCTAGACTTCCATGGTACATCCTCTAATTATTTGTTATATAGTAGTGTTGAAAGTATTAAAATCACCAATACGTACTTTGAAAATTCCGTTTATTGAGTCAAACCCATAACAAGGAATAAGTCCCAGAAGTCGTATTCTAAAAATGTTCCCTTAAGTTAATTAATGAATTTTAATTACTTCATTGCTGTAATCTGTAAAATTTGAAAAGTTTTTAATTAAAAAACGACCATTAGGAAACATTGCCAACCACCATATGAATCAACTCATGAAAATTTTTAAATATACCCGACGGTTTATACTGATAACCTACCAGGCTATTACATATTGTTACATATTATGTTCATAAATAGAAGTTTGGCGGAATGTCAGGCCCAGTAACTGATAACCTAGTTACATCTCCAGTCATCTTGTGTTATATTAAAAATTTAAATAAACTCCACTTATAGATTAAATGTCCTATTATCGATCAAAAAAGCAAAAAATTCGACGGTTAAAGATATATTTTAGTGTACGTGATTGTTGCACAAATAATGTATGTAACATAAACATTAAACAATACCTACGTATTAATGAGATATCAAATGTTACGTATCTAAGGTTGGAAATCGTTCGAAGCAAGCTTATCAGTAACCACTGACCCCCTGTTCGCACATCAAAATAATACTGTAGAAATAAAAGTTTGACATTTATATTGTCTGATCAAATATTCAGACACTCTTAAGAATTCCACAAGCCAATGAGTCGCGCGTCGGACAGTTTTTTTTAGAAGTACTTATTTGAAGAACTTATTAAAGTGTATACTGTTTTGGGGTAGCGGAGATTAGTTTAAGAGTTTTTCTTTGTCATGAAAGCGGTTTTGAACTAAAAGTTTTTGTCAGTGTACACTGCTCCTGATTTTCTATTTTAATTTAGTTTGATTAGTCTAGATTTAAGAATCCATAACGGTTATAATTATATATGATCAATACGTTAGTTTTTACATTCACATTTTTATTCAATTGAGACTTGATTCACATGGTATTGTACAACAAAAAGAATCAAAAATAAGAGAATGCAGTTAAAAACTATTTCATGCTAATTATGTTTTCTTCTTTTCTGTCTCTGATCCTCTCAGTTGCATATAAACGGATGCACGAGAGAGGTCTTGGCGGTGTAAGCTATCCTGGTGATGGTGTGTCGAGGAGCCTGGGGCGAGCAGTCAATAGGAGGGAGGGCTACTTTTCCGACCAGCTCTCCCTCTACTGACACCACCAGAAATTTACCCTCCAGCTTCATCTCAAGGTCCAATCCAGTTGGTTTGAGGGTGAAAAGGAACTCTTTGCAGATCGCCCACATCGGATATTCACTCTCAGGGACATTAGTGACACAGTCATTAATAGTGTCATCCGCACATCCAGCAAAAGTATGTATCTCGTCCAATACTAAAGTAGCTTTATCATTAGAACCTTCTGGAAACTTAACAATCACGATCAATTCAATGATTGCCATGTGTGTGTTGTAAAGCCTGATCGTTCCAAGATCTCTCTCCAAGTTTTGAGTTCCGACTCTTAGTAGAGGGAAGCGAACTGATTTTTTTCTCCCACTATTTAGCTTGTATCCGTACATGCGATTTTAACGTTTAATTTGAAAACATTGTTTGTCTTGAGCTTGTAAGGCAGCGCAGAAAACAAGTATAACCGCCAAAGCCAGAAACTTGTTGAAGGTCATCGGGTGCTTTCTCAGGTGGTAAACAAAAGTAACGAATTAATAAAAATGAAACATTATCAGGCTACAGCATGATTCAGCCTCATGGAAATTAGTCTCCGAAAAATCCAGTCTGAAAATATAATATGAGACAACAAAATTGCCATCATAGGACGCGAAAAGGATTAAGACTCCTCGGACTAATTCAAATGAATTCCTTCTGTAACGTCCTTAAAGTTAATAAATGTGTTTAATTGTAGTCGTGCAAATATGTAGTCTAAAATTATTGAATTTAATTATTGTAATTACAAAATTTGATGCGTTTTTAGCACAGAGTACGGCTTTTACTAATTCGCTCGCCCAAAAACTATCACGTGACTTTGGTTTTTATGGTTTTGCAGCCGAGAAAAACGGTTTTACATAAACCCTTATCCCATTATCCCAACCCTAACCCTAACAGTAACCCTAACCCCATCCATAACCCTAACCACAACCCTAACCCTAACCCGAGCCCTAAACAATCAAATTCGTGTTTTACTAGCCTTTCACGTGAGCAAAACAGTTTTTTGTCCATAACTCTCCAGGGAGCATTTTTATCCTACGTTATGGGGGTGATTTGGAATCAGCGTCCAAAAATACACCGATTCCGGTTACTTATATACCCTCAGAGTCAGGGCCTTTTCACAAGAATGTTTTAAAAATTTGGGCGAGCGATTTAGTGGGAGCGGCCGAGTACTGCCTCCGGGTAGCGCTCCCAAAATAAGTCATACGTAATATAATATATCACACTATACCGCATACGTATTACGTATATATTTATATATATATATATATACAGGGTGGGCCAAAAGTCAGTACCCATACGTTGGCCTATTATAGCTCAGTCACTGAGTGCCCAATTTAAATACTTCTTTCTAGTATGACTTAGTACCACCACTGGTTCGAGGAATTTGTCAACTCGAAAAATATTCGCGTTCATTTTTTCAAATGGAGGTTCATTTTCACATTTATTTGATAGTTTGGATAGTCGGATCAAGCTAAATGTTGTTGAATTGTGTTTGGCCATTCGAATTACGTTTGTCCTGAAAGAATTAGAACTGTAGCTTCTCAGATGACCGAGATATGAAGCATAACGAGTTTATTCATTACGTGTGATCAGGTGCCCCCGTTAACTACCCCGTTAAACTGTTAAACATTATGGGAATTGTTAAGGGCGCCCAATTAAGGTGTCGTGTCACGGTGTCACATAATCACCCAGTCAATATTGTTAACGAGATACAGAAAATGCTTGATAACTTCGTCATTTCTAATCCGTTTTGCCTCTTGTTTTCAGATCATATGCAACATTTGATAATCTACCGTCTCTGAAAAAATTAGGCGTTCAGCATGCTCAGAGAAAAAAATACAGGTGTTTTAATATTGAATGGGCGTGGTCTAAAATATTCCAATTTTCCAATTTTGACGACGGAATCCTCGAACCAGTAAGTACAGTATGCCATCTGCATTCTGCAAAGCAACAGCTCTCAAATATAAAACACGGCGGAGCTATTAAGGCCAACGTATGGGTACTGACTTTTGGCCCACCCTGTATATATATATATACAACTGTGTTTTATATGTATATATATAATACGATAGCTAGTAAACATATCGTAGGTAATTAATTGAACTAATTAAATAGTATAAGTAATTGCAATTAACAATAACTCAATAACTACTATATAGTTATACCAAGGACAAGGACTATGATGAATGATGATGTGATCACAAATCATATCATCCGACACAGACTGTTTGGGACCATTCATTTCCAGTTTTTCGTCCTTTTAGGTTTCAAACTTGCTATTTAAATAGATTAATGATATATTTCCAGATTAAACAAGGAATTAATAACAATACACATGTGAAGTTTAGAAAAAGTTTTGAAAAGGTGTCTCTTGGAGCATCTCTTGTAGTTGTACCGGCGTAGCTTGAACAACATATGGCTTTATTCTGCAAATAACTAATCTGCTAGTCTAGACTCGACTATGAGGTAGAATGTTCCAGAACGTCTATGAGGTAGAATGTTCCAGAACACGTCTACACTCTACAACTCAGTCAGGGAAACGCCCATTCTCTCGTCTTTGACCGTTAAGTGGCTCTTGAGTGGCTGTTCTATGGCCGTTAAGTGGCTCTTGAGTGGCTGTTCTATGGCCGTTAAGTGGCGTTTTAAAACTTGATGATCACACATATCCAATAATTCCCCAGGCACTGTGCATTAGTACAATAAGACACTTATAGTCATCATGTTCGAAATGGCACTTCGCTGGTCCTTCTGGGCGGTGTGTTTATATTTCTAACCAAGTAGTAAAAGTGCTATATCGATTAATCTATGAGCAAATGCGAAGTGAAACATAGTTCAGTGTAAGCTTGCAAATCATTTCACTCCTAATTTCTATGAGGGTTCAAGACTTTACGTAACAGTGCACCAAGTTACACTGGGATCTAATGAAAACAAATATTAATCCGAACCAGGTTATTTTTACAAATCATGGTTAAAAATTGTATTACAATAAAGCAATGTATGATAACAGAATAAAATAATTGATGCAAATTTGCTTTCACTTCACAATAAATAAAGACTCAAATGTAATACAAATACTGTTAGTACAAAAATTATTCAAAAAAATGTAATTTAATAAAATTTATCCAGTTTCTCATTCCCAAAACTTTTAATTTTATGTACTACTTCACAATTCACATGTTCATTAATCGAATCGAAAAATTACAAATAATTGTGGTAAAAGCTGTCCATATTGTTTTCCAGAAAATGAGTGATATCAGGTGTGAGCAACATTCCACGCCTCCGTCTCCCAAATTTCACTATTTCACGGTTTTGCTTTTTTGCTACTGTAGTTGCAAACAACGACCGCCCCCCTACAATGCTGAATTCATAAGTTAACCCCTCTTGTAATTCATCACTCTGATGCCACGTTGAATGCTGAAGGTTGACAGTTCGAGTCTCTGTCTCACGAAAACAAACTGACTTATTATGCTGGTCCCCAAATAATTGACTCTCAGAGCTAAACTTCTTGTTTTAAAGTTTTATCTGCATGTATGTCACGTGACACCATTTCCCATAGAATCCTGGGCGGACAGTGTGGGCGTTACCGCTTCATATATACGATAGGTAGGTGTGACGGGGGTGACTAAATTACTGTTAGGAGGGTAGGTGGGTGTGACAACGTCCAGCTCGAGACATCTGGATTTCCTGATGTCTAGAGTCCCGAGTCCTATAGTGGTAGAGGTGGTGACTTGTCGTTCTAGACTTGCTTTTCCGTTACAGTTCCCTGAGACAACTACAGTCACTTTACTTACAGTTACAACTACAGTTATTTGGTTAGATCAAGTTACAGGTCTCTGAGATAACTACAGTCATTTTACTTACAGTTACAACTACAGTTATTTGGTTAGATCAAGTCACAGTTCCCTGAGATAACTACACTCATTTTACTTACAGTTACAACTACAGTTATTTGGTTAGATCAAGTTACAGGTCTCTGAGATAACTACAGTCATTTTACTTACAGTTACAACTACAGTTATTTGGTTAGATCAAGTTACAGGTCTCTGAGATAACTACAGTTATTTTACTTTCAAGTTTTTGTCGTAAAAATTTTCGTAATTTGAGCTTATTGTGTGTAAAATAATTCTGGAATTTGGAAAATGAGCTGACGTACACGTGGCTGAAATTCATTTTCTAATGAAGTTAATAGAAATAAAGCTCGTCTAGAAGTTGAAGACAACCAACCTGATTGGCAGTTGTTTATTCGCCCTCTTCTTAGAAAGACGAACACCAGGATGATGAAGATGAGACAGATAGTAAACATGGACCATCCCAAAATAGCTACAATCTTCAGTACATTATTATCACTTTGCTTTTCATTATGCTTTTCAGAGGCAATAGCTTCTGGGGCTTCTGTGATGAAATAAATGTTTTAGTACATACGTTGAATAAGGAAAATTGAATGAAATTAATAAACGTGAAATAAGACATATCGAATGTTTGTGATTTTTAATAATTTGAATATGAAATAGAATGAGAATTTAATTTTAATTTAAAATTTCATGATATAATTCTATGAATCGAGTAAAATAGAAATTGATAAAACTGACCAGTGCCAGCAGTAGGGCGGAAGGGCTGGTTTGCTACACACTGGGGTTTCGCCCCACTCCACTCTCTACCTGACAAACAGACCAATTCTAGTTGCCCTGATTGTAGAGTACTGCCTCCTTCACATCGCATAATGCTCCGCTCCCCGTACCTGGAGAATTGTTATTTAAGCTAAATGTTAGCCTTGTTGATCTCCTGGTCCAATCTCTAAAAAAGCTCGTCCTTTCAACACATTCCATTACTTTCATCATTTATTGGCATCGATCAATTAAATTCAATGTCCGTTTTTATTGTAACAACAACATATTCCTCAAACTTGAGTGACAAGAAATTGATACTCAAACTGGAACATACCTCTCTCTTCTCGTTTGAACGATCACTCTGTCCTCACTAGCGAACTGTAGAGGAGGGCAAGTTTCAGGGACACAGATAGGATCTGAGCCGCTCCACTTACCATCTGGCTGGCAGTACCTGAGGTGATCGTTAGTTTTCGGAGGTGTGGGGTGGGGAGGGAGGGGTTGTTAGTTTTAGGCGGTGTGGGGTGGGGAGGGAGGGGGTGGTTAGTTTTAGGAGGTGTGGGGTGGGGAGGGAGGGATGGTTAGTTTTAGGCGGTGTGGGGCGGGGAGGGAGGGGTGGTTAGTTTTAGGCGGTGTGGGGTGGGGAGGGAGGGGGTGGTTAGTTTTAGGAGGTGTGGGGTGGGGAGGGAGGGGTGGTTAGTTTTAGGAGGTGTGGGGTGGGGAGGGAGGGGTGGTTAGTTTTAGGCGGTGTGGGGTGGGGAGGGAGGGGTGGTTAGTTTTCGGAGGTGTGGGGTGGGGAGGGGTAGTTAATTTTAGGCGGTGTGGGGGTGGGGAGAGGGCTCAGAGGGGTGGTTAGTTTTAGGCAGTTGTTGGGAGGTTGTTCGGGAGTGAGTTAGTAGGGCTCACCATTCAGTTGTTGGCGTTATAAAAACAGTGAAATGTTGGCTTATTTTGGTCGCCCAATCTGTTTGAATGGTATTGCCTGGAATTAAACAATATTAAGCTACATCTATACTATTAAAGTTATGTCACTATAAATTCTATAGAAAACATAAGAAAATATCTTAAAACGTTTATGAAAATTATAAGTACCTGGCTGTACTACCGGAGTATAACGTAAAACCAGTTGAGCACTGGAATTCAGCTAGTCCGATGCAAGAGGTATTGAGACTCAGCATGTTCACTCCTGCAACATTATTTAAAGTTAAATTTACTTGTGGCAACTTGCATAATTTAAATTAGCCTTTAGGAATAGTAAAAAGAAGTTTATAGCTGTTTACGATAAAGGGTCTGCTTGGGTTAATAGCTTTAGAGATGGGACTGTGGCTTTTGATGAAGTTAAGTTGATTAAATGTGTTGAGTTTCTACTGGATAATTGTTACTTTAAAGTAGGAGAGATCTTATATCGGCAACATATCGGTGTACCTATTGGAATCAACCCTGGTCCATATATTGCTAACTTAACACTTTGGTATTTTGAGAACAGTTTCCTAGACAGTACGTATAAAAGTAGATACTATATTGTAAAGAAGTTAAATAATACATTTAGACTTATAGATGATATTACTACCCTTAACTCTGATGGTTACTTAGAGGAATATTTTAAGTTAATACTTTAATATATCCAGACTCTCTTACTCTTAATAAGGAAAATGAAGTAGATAGTGCCGCCAATGTATTAGATCTTGATATTTCGATAAATAGCGAGGGGAAGTTTTCTTGTAGAGTTTATGATAAAAGGGATAAGTTTGGTTTTAAAGTGGTCAAGTTTCAACCTTTGATGAGTAATCAAGCTAGTAGTGTATTATATGGCACGTACTGTTCACAGGTTGTGAGATATTCTAGGATCTGTAATAACGTTGTTGCTTTTTCTGATAAGGTTTTTAAGTTTACTGATGATTTAATTGAGTTGGGTTTTAGACGGGATCGTCTTAGTAAAATATACTTATCAGTGGTAAAGAGGCATGGGCTAAAGAATAAGTTTGGTATTGGGTGTGGAAATATATTAATGCCATAGCTTGACCTATGGCATCCTTTTCTATTGTTGCGAAATATTTGTCGCACGTGTTGAATTTAGTTTTATAATAACTTTGCAGCGGCGCAAATCGCAAATCGGAGTTTTAGAATTACGCGGGAAATTACGCGGGAGTAATTGTAGTTTGGGTCAGTTCGTTTTATGACGTGTCGACTACGTTTACTTAGTATACTTTATCCCTACCGTTTTATTTTATTACATTTTTTACTTTATCTACCTATCACTATACAGTATACATATTTAATCTTAAATTATCATTTTAGTGGAACTATGTAAAAGGGGATCGTTGCTAGCGTTAAAACTGTTTTAACCCTGCCATAGTCAGTTGAAAGTCTGATAGCATATGTTCCGTTTGATTTGATCAAACTAATGCCTTTCATTGCTTTATAAATAAGTAGACTGGTTAAAAGTTGAATATTGTAAATTTTAACTTTAAAGTTACTACGTAACGACGTTTTGAAATTTTCCAAAGAACAGTATAGTTAACCTGTTGAGGGAGAGAGGGGAGGACAGGTAACCCTCTCGCAGGAGGGTGGGTCTATGCTCCATCTACCGCTGCTCAGACACTGGGCACTAGCTGCTAAACTCATGCCTGGTATTCCTGTAAAACATAAGGTATTAGACCCTGGCATACCAGTGCAATATTACTTTTATGTTTACTTGTTGAATGTGGTTTTAATTCAATATAATAGTTGATGACAATATTATCACTCAATAAATTTATTTATATTTTATTATCACCCTTTTAGGATGGTATGTGACTGTAACGGGTCCGCATGACTGCTAAAGTCAGTACGTTTAACGCCTCGAGGAAGATCGCAGGATTCCTAGTCTACGCTACTCTTTTCATCATGGCTACGACACTCAATTTTGGGACATGGAATGTTTGCGGTCTATCGACCACATACAGGCAACACTTCGTTGCAGAGGACATTGACAGATATAACTTAGACATTTTAGGAGACCAAGACACGTGAATACTTGGAAACAACACTCCCTGGACATCATCGATTGTTTTTGTTTGATCAGAGACACGATAGACACGGTGGACTTGGGTTTATTGTTAACAAGCGTTTTTTGGAATGTATAGTATCTCATCATCAGATCAGTGACAGAGTTGTTTATATGGACTTTAAATTAAGTGCTAAAAGGGTGGATCAACCACCTTGTCATATCAGAATTTTTAATTGTTACAGCCCTACGAATCCCAAGTCAGTTCAGAATCCCCGATTAGCAACCCAATTTTACGATGAGCTACTCGAGGCTATCAGTGTTCCTGCTAGATTTGAAGTATGGATGTTAGGCGACTTTAATGCCAAACTTGGCAAAAGAAGCCCTGTTGATGTAGAAAATGGTTTACATGTGAATATTGGTAGACATGGTGTTGGGAGGAGGAATGAAAACGGTGAAAGGTTGCTACACTTTCTCACTGCTAATGGCCTGTTTGCTGCCAACACTTCATTCTCCCATAGCAGCAGACACATTACCACACGGACTGGTTGGATTCGGAATCGAGCAACCAGGAAAAGTAAACCTTATTTCCAACAGATTGACTTCATACTCTGCAAGTCCAGAAGCAAGGCACTGCTAACTGATGCCAGGTCATATGCAGGTACAAAGCACCGCAGTGACCACAAACTTGTTGTTGCCAAGGCAGATTTTTCGCAGCGCTTCAAGTTGTACAAGGAGATCAGAGCATTTCAAAAGACTTATAACACAACAACCTTGATTGGAAGCAAACAAGCTCAACAACAATATCAGCAAGAACTTCGTCAGAAACTTGAGCAAACTGTATCAGATACTGACTTTAACTCCCACAACACGGAACAGCAATTTAATATGCTTTTTGGTGAAGTTAAAGAAACTGCTGTTTCCACTGTGGGTTTTCGTGAGCCACAGCGAAAGAGGAATCATTCCTCTGACAGTCAAGTTGTTAGCATGTCTGAAGAAAGGAAACAACTTTTACAACAACTGAACAACAACAAATACAGAGACAGGACAGCTCTCAGAGCTAAAATCAACAGGCTCTCAAACGACATTACTAAACGGTTGAAAACATTGAGAGTTGAGTTAGCAAACAGCCTAGCTGACTCTATAGCCACCATAGACGAAGGACGGAGAATGTTTGAAGCTGCTCGTCAACTATCAGGCAAACAGAAAACGGGTGCAGGCTCTGTGTCTGTTTTCAACACTGACAACCAACTGGTAGATAATGAACGAGACAAGGCTGAAATCATTCGCCAGTACTTTGAAGAACACTACACTGGACCTGACAGCGAACCACCACTAGAACCGTTCACAGGTAACCCTAGGCCCCTTCAAAACCCCATTACAGCGTTTGAAGTTGAGCTTGCGGCCAAGAAACTCAAGAACAGTAAAGCTGTTGGACCAGATGGGATCCCAAACGAATTTCTCAAACACTCTCCTGAAATATTTTTTTCCACATTTGCACAACTTACTAATCGATCCTTTGAGCTCCATGAACATGTACCTTCTTTCACAGAGGGATACCTTACTCCTCTCCAAAAACCTGGAAAGCCACTAGGCCCCCCTAAGAGTTTGCACCCACTTTGCCTACTAAACGGTACTAGAAAGATATTGTCCATGATAGTCTTAAAGTGCATCCAAAGGCAAGTATCTCAGTACACTGGTCCTTGGCAGAATGCCTATAAACCTGGCCATAGTTGTGCAAATATCGTTTGGACCCAGCGAATACTAGTGTCAGTTGTTAAGGAAAAACGCTGGTCTCTTCATAAGATGGGCATTGACATGTCCTCTGCTTTTGATACCATAAAGAGGTCGGTATTACTTGACATTTTAGCTGATGCTGGTTGTAGTGAGGACGACATTCGACTGGTAAGGTATTTGCTCGCAAATACTAAACTGAAGATCAAAGTGAACTCAACAATATCAGGAGAGTTTATTGTCACGATTGGAGCTTTTCAAGGCGACAGTTTGTCTGGAAACTTGTTCACTCTATATCTGGCAGCAGCACTTTACCACCTGCGTGCTGTTATGTCCTATCTAAGACCTAACCCTCCCATAGCTGAGAATCTGCTACCCCTCGAGTGGGAGTACGCAGATGATGTTGATTTTACTGATGAGGATAAAAGAAATTTGGAGTCTTTGTTGCCAATATGGAAAGAGATATTGGAAGAGTGGAATCTTTTTGTCAATGAGTCAAAAACCGAGTTCACCCACTTCTATCTGGCCGGCAAGAACGAGGTTGATAACAAAGGAGAGACACTCAGAGGTAGAGTACCTTGGAGGTCATCTATCTCTTTAGGCTCTAAGTTGTGTAGCATCGAAGATGTCAAGAGACGATGTATACTTGCTAACATTGCTTTTCAGAACTACAAAAATGTCTGGGAACAAGGTAGACGTATACCCTTGAAGATTCGACTCAAGATATATGAAGCACAAGTTGTTTCAATACTGATGTATAATTGCAACAGTTGGGCAACATCTAAACAACTCCTTCAAAAACTTGATGTCTGCCACAGGAATCATCTCCGTACGATCATCGGCATGACCTACCCTAATGTCATACGAAATGTGACTCTATACAAACGCTGCGAAGTTGTTCCACTAAGTGAGCGTGTTGCTCGTGCACGGTGGAGAATGCTCGGTCACATCCTCCGCAGTGATAATAACTCACCGCCCAGCTTGCCTTACATTTTGCTGTAGAGAGTCAGAGTTTGATGAGAGGTAGAGTCGGACGACACCAGTCAAACTTGTTAAAAACTATTTTGAACGATTTAAGTGACAGAAACTTTAGACTTGTAAATACAGACGATTTATACCATTTAAGACTTTTTGCAACAGATAGAAAAGCATGGAGAGAGTTAAGCATGATTTAGTTTATTCAGTGTTATTTTTCTCTTGGTGACTTATCAGGTCATCAAGATGTTCTTTATGTTCTATTTTTGATTTGAATAAAGTTATATAATATATCACCCTTGTATGTTTATGCCGAGGAAACCTGCTTCACGTCAAAACATCAGTCGAGCAAAGCCTCAGGACTTAAAACAACTTTCTTAACTGAAAACGAATAACAATGAAAATCAGTACCTGAAACTCTATGACAAGCCTTGCAGGTAGCAGTAACCAAGGAGCCAACTCTTTTAGAGGTGGATGATAGGTAGCCATTCTTTGGGGAGGGGAATACTGGACACTCAGTCACTGAAATTAATTGTGGCTTTAATCAGAATATTCCTTACTATAATAAACATAAGGGCTAATTTCCCTTCCTCTTTATCAATTACAGCGTTTATCCGTCATAATAATACGAATATCCATGTTATGGCGTGTCTGCCAAACACTCACTATGATAAGATAGCACGCTGTATGTATTGTACAACTTCAATAAGTACTGACAGTGTACCTGGGAACCTCTACAAATGCACTGCACGAGGTTACGAGAACCTCTATAAATGCACTGGATATGCACTACAATAGTCTAGGTGGTAAGTGGCGGATACTCAATGCAATATGGAAGTATTACCGGTGCAGAGAGGAACTTGTCCGCTCCAGGACCTGTCTTTCCTACAGGTCCTGACCAGGTCTCCGTACACAAGATCTGTTCCTTTGACACACCTGAAAAGGGCAGGAGGGTTAAATAATAGATTGGAGTGAACGGTAAAATAACAATTCGTATTACCAGCTGTATAGATAAGAGATGTCCTGTCGCTTGTTATTCACTGAACATTGTTCAGCAACATTTGATAAAGAAGTTAATTGCCTCAAATTTAGAACGGGGTACATCTGAAAAAGCACAAATTTGAGCAAGTGCTATGAACTCACCTTGCAGCAAACTGTCCCCCACACTTGGGCTGTCTCTCATCAAAGAGCAGCACAGTGTTTTTAGGAAGAGGAAGCGGATAGCACGTGGCAGGACTGCAGGTTGGCAGAGTCCCGTTCCACTGTCCCGTCTCCAGGCAATGTAGAGGGGTCTGCGAGCTAGTCACATGACAAGGATCTGAGCAGGAAGTTTGGAGGATGGTTCCTACTGTTGTCTGGTCAGTTGTGATGTGCGAACCAGGGGAGGGGGTAAGGACGGGGCAGCGTCTTTCTAAAGAGGGGTAGATGTTGTTATTATGTGGACTAAAACTTGTAGTCTAACCAAATAGACTCGTAATGTGGTCTACGACAGAAACTGTAAACTTTCATTTGTTTTCTGCGGAAAATTACTGCTCAATATAATAATAATTAACATCATGCTGCAAAAATGTTTGCTCCGTTGAGTCAAGAATCCTGACCGAAGCTTCAATATATGAAACCAACCTGTACAAACAGGGGAAGATCCGGACCAGTTGCCAGTAGGTAAGCACTGTCTGACTGAGTCTCCAGAAGTCAGGTCAGAACCAGATCTACACCGAGTTGTGAGGTGCCCCAGACATGTGTTGTTCTGATTCACTAGCTCCACGTTCTTAGGGAGGGTGGGCAGAGGGCAGGATACAACTGGGGTGAAAAATATGAGAATTACATCCATTATTTAATATTTGGTCATGAACTTGTTCGTTAGGTGATTCCAAATCATATAGCACATGTTTAAAAATACTACGATAAAAGATCACATTATTTTAAAAAGACACTAAAGTTCACTCACTGCTGGTTGAAACGGTCGAATCAGTTGCAGTGTAGGTTGTAACCTCTGTCACACAACCTCCCATTAGGGACACTTTACCAATAACACCCCCGGGGTGGTCCTCCGCAAACGTCTTCTTTTCAGCAGATAAGGAACAGTTCCAGTGTTTCTCGGAGAAGGAGCAGGAGGGTCCTTGGTAGCACTCTGCTGGATCCTGAACGAGCAGGTTCGTTAGTAATTCAACTTTTTGAGTGATTTTCAGTCGAAGATATTTTCATGGGTTGCTATCAGATCGAAAATCAGTAAATTTTGAAACTTTTCTGCTATCGATTTTCCCGGCTGAACAAAGAACAAACCCGGAAGTGAGAGCAGAAGAACTTGGGAAGGGTAGCTATCTTGTGTCTGGAGAGCAGAGTCAGGTCTCCGGAGGAGGAGAGGAGGAGTCGGGCAGGTGACATGTTGGTTTGTACGGATTGTATCCTGCTCAGGGATGTGTCGTGTTTCTCTTTCAGGATATCCAACTCTCCGTCGTCTGGAGGGTAGCACGGGGTGTCAGACGGCAAAGTTAAATTACAAAGCAAATGGGATGTGTCGGATTTGTTAATCATTAGCCCTGTACAAACAGCTTTTAGCTCTTCAAATTTTTGTCGCATGTCTCTTCAATCTTCAACCATAAAAGAACCAACCGCCTAGCCGTCAAGTTTCATTGTAGGATTATAAAATTCAAAGCATATTGCGTCTCTACGCAATGTTAATTAACTGTTGCCTTGTACCAACATCTTTTATCTCCTCGAATACCTATCTTCAATCTATACACCGCAGCTACAAAAAAATCTCCACCCAACCGTCGAGCTACGTCTAACGAACCACTTACCAGTAGCAAGGTACCAGACGTTCTCTTTGGTCCTGAAACTGTTGTAGTTCTTTTGATGGGTGAGGAGGGTGTGCGATCCTTTTATCAGATCAAGTAACTGAGTGAGATAATTCATTTGGTTTATCGCGTTACAGTTCATTTTGCTTCCTGACGATCCACGCTCTTTCCCTAAAAAGTACAATTGAAGAAATTTATAGACACAGAGATGAATAAATGAGGTTATGAGGTACAATGAAGTAAAATAAAGTAAAATGAGACTTATTTGAGCTTATCAAATGGATCGTTTTTTAAAGCAGTATTTTGGATTGGGAACCAACCATTTCATCATAGTCGAGGAATTGTCCAGTATCCAGTTGACGGTCTATCTCCTGAATAGATATAGCACAGAGTACCCTGCCTGATAACTCTACTGGAGTTCTAGAGGTTAGAAGGAGGAGTTGTGATCTGGTAGGATCGTATTGGGCGTCCAGCAGGATGGTGTGGTCTATCTGGGAATAGTGAGAATTATAGTGAGAATAGTGAGAATAGTGAGAATAGTGAGAATAGTGAGAATGGTGAGAATGGTGAGAATGGTGAGAATAGTGAAAATGGTGAGAATAGTGAAAATAGTGAGAATAGTGAGAATAGTGAGAATAGTGAGAATAGTGAGAATAGTGAGAATAGTGAGAATAGTGAGAATAGTGAGAATAGTGAGAATAGTGAGAATAGTGAGAATAGTGAGAATAGTGAGAATAGTGAGAATAGTGAGAATAGTGAGAATAGTGAGAATAGTGAGAATAGTGAGAATAGTGAGAATAGTGAGAATAGTGAGAATAGTGAGAATAGTGAGAATAGTTAGAATAGTGAGAATAGTGAGAATAGTGAGAATAGTGAGAATAGTGAGAATATTGAGAATAGTGAGAATAGTGAGAATAGTGAGAATAGTGAGAATAGTGAGAATAGTGAGAATAGTGAGAATAGTGAGAATAGTGAGAATAGTGAGAATAGTGAGAATAGTGAGAATAGTGAGAATAGTGAGAATAGTGAGAATAGTGAGAATATTGAGAATAGTGAGAATATTGAGAATAGTGAGAATAGTGAGAATAGTGAGAATAGTGAGAATAGTGAAAATAGTGAGAATAGTGAGAATAGTGAGAATAGTGAGAATAGTGAGAATATTGAGAATAGTGAGAATAGTGAGAATAGCGAGAATAGTGAGAATAGTGAGAATAGTGAGAATAGTGAGAATAGTGAGAATAGTGAGAATAGTGAGAATAGTGAGAATGGTGAGAATGGTGAGAATAGTGAGAATAGTGAGAATGGTGAGAATAACTATTGTTAGTTTCTTGTTGTCCTGATCTTACCTCGAGCATGTTGCAGGACAGTTGACCGTATCTCTCGGTGGAGAAACTACCGTAATTCCCCTGGTCGTTCTCGCAAAATCTGGCTACTCTTGCTTCACCCGAAATACCCTGGGTTATGATGCGATATTACGATAGGATACTTAACACGAAACATATTGTATAGTAGAATATAGATCCTAACTGCCAGCTCATAGAAGCGCACAATTATTTCGTTGGAAATACCATGGATTCTCTCTTACATGATCAAATAATTCCGATATCGTAAACTTATGCAATATATGCATGATGTATTTATGATCTGCCCATGATCTTACCTGATACAATCTACGAAACTAAACTCTATGGATTCATCACTTTGTCATACACGGCTCACTATATGAAATTAATGTTAAGTTTACTAACCGTATAAATCATGTATACAAAATTCCCGTGTTTGAAAATAAGCTTGGTTGCGTCAGAGCTATCACTTGCTTCTAATCCAATGGTTTTTACAAAATTCCTCGTTAGGGGAAGATATTTGGAAATTTTAGTGGTTCCGTCCGAATAAGAGAAAGTATACAAGTTGTTTGAAATCCAGGCCGTTGTAAGTTCACCCCCAGTACTGCTGCATAGTGACCTAGTTTGGTAGAACTCTGAAAATTTATCAGGTTAAGAACAACAAACTGTTTTAAATAAATCGCATGAAACACCAAAAAGTATTATAATATTTCATGTACCATCTAAAGAAAGATAGTGAAAGTAACTGGTCTCCCGACACTTACCATTGTCCTGACTGACGAGAGAAATCTCCGAGAGAGAGGATCAGTCTGATATACCTCCCCCGCTCTGCACATCAGTATTATGTCAGTAGATATCTGTTTTATAAACTGAACTTCGTCCCCAACTGACTGAAATTATGCACTTGTTAATATGTGTAAGTAATGCGTGATGCTGTTCGACGCGACAATTTTGATGTCCCCTCTGGGGTTTGAACCCCCTAATTTAAAAATTTCAGAACAATAGAGTTTTTATCGTAAGACTTCTCGAAATTTCTAAAAATGTCCACAAATTGAATGACCCAATTGTTGTGGGAATTGCTGACCTGTTTGGCTGTTATCTGACAGTCGTTGAGTTTTGAAATGTGACCGTTGCTAAGCAACAAGCTTGTGTCTGCGTCATACCACGTGATGTTGTCATGCAGTTGGAGGAAGCAGCTTTCTGTCCTGCAAATATATTGTCGGTTATATTTATACCTTTTCAATTTTAACCATCCAAGCAGGGACAATTTTGGGCAATTTCACATTCATCATTTTCCTATCTTAGAACATTACATACTTGAATATTGAATATATAGGGAAAGCAGCTTACTCTGTTGGAAACAAACTAAGAAATACTTACTGAAAATGATTGTGATCGAGGAAAGAGAGCCGTGTTGCTAAGGTGAGGGTGAGTTGTAATGTTATAATGAGGAGATGTGTGTTCATAATCACATGATCCAGTTTATTACGTTACTGTTACCATGGTTACTGATATGTGTTCGTATCCGCGCGTAACTTCTCTCATATCTATAGAAAATTTGAACGTTGGGATTTTGCATTCGCATGATAGATGGAAGCATCAATATTCAATATTCAAGAAAAACAAATGGGGATACAAATTCTAATTACAGGTAACGACAACTTATAATTTACAACTATGCTATAACCATAAAAGGTTGAACGAGTATCAGGTACGAAGCTGTCAAACATGGCTCCAAGTTTTCTAAAGAAATTGTGTTGCGAAAGCCCGTTCAAATCTCCAAAAAACGGGGAGAATGACGGATGGGAAGCTGACACAGAAGAGCCTAAAAGTTTGTTCATAAGCCCTATATGTAAACCTATATCAGCCGTATGTGAACTGGTTCAATAGTGGGAGTTGCCTTCTGAGAGAAATCCGGTTTAAAGTTGCTTTAAACTAAAAGGGCGGGAACAACGGACACGAACGAGCTTTAAGGTTGTTTAAAAGCTCTTGCAAAGTATGAATCGGTTCAAAAGCTGAAGTTGTATTCCGAGATAAAGCCGGTTTAAAGTTGCTAAAACCGGGCTAGGAGTGACCAGAAATACAAATGAGGTGAGAAAAAAACGTCACCTTACAAGTGACATTTCTAGTTAGCTGTGATAGTATTGTGAAGGTTGTAGTGAACGACGGGCTTTTGAAGTCTGACAAGGATATAAAAAGTCTCAGAAAAAAAAGTCTCACAACTCTGCACTCTTCAGCCATTGTGTAACAGTGAGTGTAACAATGAGTGTAACAGTGAGCGTAACAGTAAGTGTAACAGTGAATGTAACATCGAGTGTAACAGTGAGCGTAACAGGGAGTGTAACAGTGAGTGTAACAGTAAGTGTAACAGTGAGTGTAACAGTGAATGTAACAGTGAGTGTAATAATGAGTGTAATAATGAGTGTAACAGTGAGTGTAACAATAAATGTAACAGTGAGTGTAACAGTAAGTGTAACAGTGAGTGTAACAGTGAGTGTTAGAGTGAGTGTACCAGTGAGTGTAACAGTGAGTGTAATAATGAGTGTAACAGTGAGTGTAATAGTGAGTGTAACAGTAAGTGTAACAGTGAGTGTAACAGTGAGTGTAACAGTGATTACAAACGAGAGCTTTAGTAGATGTTAAATTATGTATGGGGGACGTATGAGTAGTCTACATATAAAGTATAAGTTATCTACATAGACTGCAGTATACGTTATCTTAAAGCAGGAGTATGCAGGAATGCCTACATATCATTGGTCACCCTAGTAACAGTTTACAAGTACTGAATATCCTTATTTCAATAAATAATAATAATAGGTCTCTTATGGGAAAACGAATGATGCTCCGTAAATTAACTAATAAATAGAGATTAAAATTTCAAGGACTGATTAAATTGACAAAACCAGTCATTAGACGATGTTGAATGGGCCAGTAAATCAAATATAAGTCGCTGCCAGCTATCACCCCGGAAACTGGAGATGCAACAAGATGACTATGGTGAAGGCACTATCCGTCGTGGAGTAGAGTCCGCGGCGGAGCCGCTGGACTCCGAGCGGAGTCCGCCGAGCCCGGTGGACTCCGCCAAGCTCCGCCGGACTCCGCCGGATTCAAGTCCGGCGGAGAGGTCCGCCGGAGTCCGCCGACCACTCCGCTGGAGTCCGCGGCGGACCGGAGTCCGCCTAGTGGCTTAGTCCGCGGCGGACAGTCCGCCGACCCGCCGTGGAGCCGCTCGGAGTCCGCGGCGGACTTTAAATTCCGCTCGGAGTCCGCCAAAATGTATTCGAGTCCAAACGAAATACATTTTGGCGGAGCACCGCCGGAGTCCGCTCGGAGTCTGCTCGGAGTCCGGCGGCTCCGCCGCGGACTCTACTCCACGACGGATAGTGCCATGGTGAAACATGAAACTATAAAGATTTAAGTATGTAGATGTGATAAGTGCAGACTGCAGAGTAGTCTGTAGTTTAAGATCACTAACGAGGAGGAGCATTATTATAGTTTTCAGGGTTCACGTCAGTTTACCCCGATTATGGGGGATCTCATCTGAAAAATGCAAAATCCGGTAAATCTGTATCCCGGAAAGAAGAGGCGAGACTGAGTTAACTATACTTATAGTGAAGTGCTAAACTGGTAAGTGACAGTTGAGTAGTTGGTATTCGGTAGTTAAACGTCAATAACGTGGAGTCTTCCGGACTGTGAATAACGAGTAATCATTGGAGATATTATAAGATTATACGATATAAGGGGGATGAGTAGTAGATAATATCGTGTTTAACATATTATGCTGTGTTACCAGGGCAACTAGTGATTGTGATGGAATTATGCTTTGAGTAGGAAACAAATAAGCGATGTATACTGTATAAGGTATAATGTGTCATTTACATTGTACAGGGTATACTGTATGATGTACACAAATTGTACAATAAAGTACAATGTACATGAAAAAATACACTGTTTTTACACTGTGGAGAATCGTAATTCAGAGACCCCCAACAAATTGTCGGACTCTCAAAGCTGTCACAATCTAAAGACCACAAAAGATGTTTGGGTGAGTGCCCGTAATAACAAAACATGCTTACCAAGATTAGTGCCCCTCCTGGGTGGCCTGTCTCACACTGTGTGTAGTGAATAACAAAGGAACGAAACTAGGAGACTCTTGAGGACTCTCTGAAGAATACTGGACTCTAAAATGAACTTGAAAACTGAGCGTTAAGGCTGCTTGGTGTTACTCAAGATGTTGAGCCCCATGCTAACACAGTAGAAAGAGTCAACGTTTTGACTCATGACAATAAGCGTGTAATTACTGATAATCAATTACCTAACGTTTATTATGGACGATTCTTTACTGTATACAAAACATGACACCCTTATAAGAGTTGCAAGGAAAATTTGACGTGCGGAGGAGAGTCCTTGAGCAATAGTTCAGAGAATCGGGCACCCTACAAACTGCTGAGCACTGTTATTGAAATGAAGGAGCCGTGGAGGTAGCATATTAATTCGATCTTGTTGTGAACAATGAAATGAAATGCCAATAAGCCACACTCTGGATATACTGTTTGAAAACTAATTATAAATGAGATTAATGAGAACCGGTTCTCGTACAGGAGAAATGGAACCAGGAACCTTATCACGTGTTTTTAGCTCCTAACAGGCGATTAGGTTCCTGGAGTAATGAAATGAACCCTGCTGCTGTTGTAGAACATGGAGAGTGCCAAGTGCCGTGGTTTGGTGGCTTTAATCATCCTGTTTTGAGAGTAAAGATTGGAATAATCACTGGATTTAGAGGATCCTTGGCAGCGTCATGTCTCAACATTATTAAGATCCATTAATGGTACTCAAATAGCTTCGGAATTTGGTAGGTACATAATATCGCCTCGAGTTTACAAATTGAATACGTCAGATAACGATTAGATACTATTTGATGACAAATGTATTTAAAAAATGTCAGTATTCAAACGTCTCCTGTATGACTTATGACATAGCCGGATGGGTATGGAAAACACTTCCAGGGTGAACAACGGACAATTTGCATAATTAATGTTGCAAGTTACGTCACATGAAAACATCAGGAATCTACGAAATGAGCAGACAATAAAAGAAAATACCAATACAGATATACATACCTACATGATATATGATGCTCTCAAAATAAAATAATTACATACTTATGAGTTATGTTCATAAAGTCAATCTATTTTGGGAGCAGTAATCAGAATGTGTCTGTTTTCATGTTTCTTTAGGTATTTTAGATACAATCACCGTTCATTATGCTGAAATTCGACTCTTTAAATCTTTGAATCTGCTATGCGTGCAATAAGTTTATAAAGTATAATCAGAGTCGACGTTGAAGTTGGAAATAAGTGAAAATGAATGACATATCGCGTCAATGACAATAGAATTAAAATAATTAATATCCTGAATAACCCACAAAATTAATAAATACCATTGAAATACGTCAGGACTCTCAAAATGACTCGTGACAGCATATTACCACACCTCACAGCACACAGTCTTTAATTAACATGAGAAATCACATCTTCCACTGAGGTAGGACATGATCTGTAGACTTCACACAGATGATAACGAGAGTCTAGATCTATAGGGACTAAAACAGAGACTAAAAGACTGAGAAAGTGATTCAAGGAGCCAACCGAGACATTTTAATTTGTCCGCTAGACTGCTGACTGATATCAGAAAAGCTGCCAAATACAAACCCAGCACAAACTCTCAATTCACAGATACAGTGCAGGTAATTGGGAAAAGACGGCCGCCTGTTTCTCTGTCAATGTATGCCCGCCTTCTATACGTTATAGGTGCTAAAAATGTCCGTCTCTTATTAACCTTAATTGTGTTCTCATTAGACAGCAGGGCAAATTATTTGACTTTGTAATGGTAATTAACACCACGTCGCCGGAGAAATTGACCACCGGTATGGAAATTTTGAAATAATAATCTGCCATCTGTAGAGCCTATTGCCTACTCGGCCTAATTAACAGCCATACAATATAAATTGTGTGCGTGTGTCTGTGTCAGGAGTCTGTAATGTTGCCGGCACATTTGACAAGCACGTCATAACAAGAAAACTTTAAATTTAAACTCGCAAAATATCATAGATATTCAGTGAAGTTTGTGTGCAAACAATCACACATACTCGAGACCTAAAGCAGGCACGGTTACGGTTCGGGGAGGAAAAAATGAAAGTACTTTTACGGAAATGGAAAGCCGAAAACCCTGTAGAGCCCACTGCTTACTCGCCCTAATTAAACGCCTCGAAGTGTAAATTGTGTGCGTGTGTCTGTAAATCTAACACGAGGTATTGTTACAAGAAGTAAGAAAGCAGTAAAATTAAAAAGCTCGAAATTGCGGAGTAACGTGAATATGTACGGTAGAAGGTTTGTGAGAACAGTTATAATTCACAAATGCATGAAACCTAGATCTGGAGCGACAAAAAGGATGAAATTACCGATTTCGAAAAATTATTTAACAAAATAATACTGTTAACATTTCAAAAATATCACTAAGTTACCACTCCTTCATAAATCATTTCGCCCC